ACTGTAAGTATCTCCAATTTGCCATTTTCTGCTATCCAAGAAGACTGCTCACAAGCTGTATTTGAGTCAAGGGACTACTGTAGATGTAAAATGACAATAGCATCACCAATAAGCAGATGAGCATCATCAATAAGCAGGGGTCCAGTTTAAGAAGGACAGGGACCTGCTGGAGAGAGTCCAGCGCAGGGCAACTAAGATGATTAAAGGAGTGGAGCATCTCCCTTATGAGGAAAGACTGAGGGAGCTGGGTCTCTATAGTTTGGAGGAGATTGAGGGGTGACCTTATTAGTGTATATAAATATATAAAGGGGGAGTGTCACGAGGATGGAGCCAGGCTCTTCTCAGTGGCAAACAATGACAGGACAAGGGGCAATGGGTACAAACTGGAACACAAGAGGTTCCACTTAAACTTGAGAAGAAACTTCTTCTCAGTGAGGGTGACAGAACACTGGAACAGGCTGCCCAGGGTGTTGTGGAGTCTCCTTCTCTGGAGACATTCAAAACCCGCCTGGACATGTTCCTGTGTAACCTTATCTAGGTGTTCCTGCTCCGGCAGGGGGATTGGACTAGATGACCTTTTGAGATCCCTTCCAATCTCTAACATACTGTGATACTGTGATACTGTGAAATATGCTCCCTATTTCTTTACCTGCCTCTTTTCTCTAAGTATAAATATTAACAAGGTTTGGTTTTTACCTGCACAGGTAGTCATTTCACAGTTCCTAGCTTTCAAACCCAAATCATTTATCATAATTTAAAAAAAATTGAAAATTTGATCTAAAATTTCAAATATATCTTATCAGTACAGTTATTGCAAATTGTCACCTGCTCATTGCTAAGTAAGAAAAAATATATAGCCATCCTAATTCTCCTTTTTTTTATTTCCTGGGCTATATGCAGTATAAAAACTCACACAGCCAAGAAACCAGTGGGGTCCAGATACCTGACAACAAGTAATCCAAAGATCCCAAGCCTGGTATCCTGTTCTATTTTTTGTGAACACTGTTACACTGTAATGGAATTTCACTAATTAATGATGTTGCTTTCACACTTAACACCAGTCCTGCTCCTGGCCTGTGGCTGGGGTACCTACTCCTGGCCTGTGGCTGGGGTACCTGCTCCGACAGTAGTTCTCCCCAGTGACTGGAAAACTGCAATTACAGTTGGACAGTTAGATGAGGAGTATCCTGGGTCTGCAAGTCCCTATTTCAAATTACTCAAAGCAGTCAGTAATACAAGTATCAGTATTTTCAGTCATCCCCTCTGCATACAAAGTGCACAGTGTGAGGCAGACAGCTCTCCTTCTCTGAGCATAATCACAAAGACATACCTTCCCCCACCCTACATTTAAGAAAGCACAAAGTATCACTAGAGAAAGTTTGCAGTCACCACTTTCGCATTTTTCTCCCTAGCTTCATCAAAATTTGTTGCCTTCCTTCCTACAGATCCTATCCAATGGCAAACAGGAATAATTTCCCCCTTCTTTTGTTGTTTTTTTTTTTTTTTTTTTTCAGTGATCTTGCGTTCTTTTTAATCATTCAATATTGTCTGGGCAGGACATTATCTTTGTACTCTGTGCACTTTCTGATTCCAAATGAAAATGAGCACTGTGAAAAAGATCTTTAATACACTGGAAACATTTCTTTGTGTAAGAAAAAAGGTTCCCTCCAGAAAGTTTATGCATAATGAAGGTGAAAAATTAATATGGAACTGGTCCAGGATGGTTTCATGCATCATGCTTTCAGATTGTATTATGTCTTGCTTCTAGTAAGCATTTGACATGCCTCAGAATATGAAAAAAAAAAAAAAGCAAAATAAGAAGTCATGTCTACTATATTAGAACCGGTGGATTTCAATTGTTTTAGTTTACTATTATGTGTTTAATCAGGATGAATATATTCCCAACCCAAAAGGTCCAACTTCCCTAAGACAGCCCAGAAAAAATATTTTTATAATCCTATTAATAAGATATATGCCTATCTCATAGACCCTATAAATACTAAACCCAGCATAGAAATGAGTGGGAAAAGAATTTGGCATGATCATTAGCAATGTTTTCAAGAAGAGACTACTGAATAAGATATATAAGAAAATAACCACAAGAAAGGAGAGTAAGAGCAAAAACTGAAGCTACCACAATGTCTGGTTGTCTTTAAAAATACTGCAAACTACTGGCAAAAGTGTCCAGACTAACCTTATAGGCTTTTAGGCACAAAGCAGCCTGACACCCAAAAGTACAGAACAGCACATCTACTTATGTAGCTAAATTCTGGGGTGCTCAGCAAGTCCCAACATGCCTAAAAGTCATGTTGGGTACCCATCAGGTTTCATTCAGCCTGAGTGAGTGAGCAAACACCACTGGAATGGATGGAAAGACACACTGCTGTATTTTTAATCAAGTTTATTGACTTCCGAAGAAACTGCAGTTCGAACCACATTTGTAAATTACACCACCAGTTGTCTTCATGAACTGTAAAACTTTTAGAGAATGTTTATGCGCAATGGTGGTAATACCATGGCTTTGGAAGTTTGCTTCTGCCATGGTCACTCATTTTGGACATCACTTGTTCTTTGTAAAAGGGGTCGTTAAAGAGCTGCCAAAGCAATTGTGTCACAAGGAGTATTTTTATCAAAATTATGACAAGATTCTTCTGCACTGGTGGCCTGGAAAAGTATGCTATATTTTCCTATAAACAGATCTTCTGCAAAGAAAGCAGAACTTGAAGTTCTTGAACTTCAGATAAAAGCACTGAGCATTTTAGTTGGTAACACGTGGGAAAGTGGAAGCCCTGCTGGTAGTAAGTTATGTTTTTTAGTCCTAGAAGCAACAGAAGACAGGTCCCAGACATGCTTCCACCATCCACCCAATGGAGCAAAAAGGAACCCTACCACCCCTGCTGTAGCAGTGTAATGTCATGCAGCTATTCCTTTGTGGGGTTACTACAGGACCACATAAACCTCTTTGTTTCCAAGCCGCAGCTACTGAGGGGCCTTTACAGCATTGTCTCAACAGAGCAGGATACTTGCTGTTTCAAGAGTCTAGGTTAGAGCCCAGATCTCCCTAGTGCTCAAGCTGAACAAAATGGGAGTTGAATTTCCACAGTGTGCCACTTTGGGGAAACAGTTATGGCTCATATTTTTAGGATGCTCAGTGGAGGAAGCTTGACACTGGTCTGCAGAAGACAGAACAGCTCAGCTGGTAGAGCTCTCAGAGGAGCCTGTTTGCTGAGGAGAACATCCTCACCCTCTGTGGAAGTACCTGTGTTGGGCTAAAGCATCCTGAAGAGCAGGAGACCTGCAGGGCAGGTTTAGCTCATGCCTCTTACAATCAGATGACAAGCTCCAGAAATGCACCATGGACCAGACTGTATGTAGTCCCACTTAAACTTGAGAAGAAACTTCTTCTCAGTGAGGGTGACAGAACACTGGAACAGGCTGCCCAGGGAGGTTGTGGAGTCTCCTTCTCTGGAGACATTCAAAACCCTCCTGGACACGTTCCTGTGTAACCTTATCTAGGTGTTCCTGCTCCAGCAGGGGGATTGGACTAGATGATCTTTTGAGGTCCCTTCCAATTTCTAACATACTGTGATACTGTGATAGTCCAAACTAAAGCTACCCTGAAATGTACAGAGAATGACAAATCCATATAGAATAAACCCTTGCAATTATGCCTTAAGACAGATTTTGGCAAGCCATGGCAGCAGTCTCCCTTCCACACAGGCATATCTGTATTTCACATGGATTATGACAAAACTAGAATTACCTATGTGACATAATGCTGCACGCCACTAAAACCCAAAAGGGACTCTCACCCCACGGAATATTCCAATCCCATACTTCAGAGGAGCCTGGTAACTTTATCATGGCTATGCTTTCTTAAGTGCTACACCACATTATAATTGAAGACTACTAAAATATGCTAATCATGAGTAGCAAATTTTAAAAACTCTTCCTAAACAGCAATGCTGAAGTACCATTAGTTGAGCTGGGAGATAACATTTGTCAGCAACTAAGGACTAAAATAGGAAGAAATCAAAGATTTGTTCACTATAAAAGTCCTTAAACCAACTGAAAATATTTATTACACTGCTACAAACCATCAGTAAAATAATTCTTTTCATAAACTTGTACTATCATGGTTACGGGAAGTAGCTGTTAGGTTGAAAGACTCCTGTAGGAGTGTGCTCCTTCTGCAAGAGGAACAAATTTGCATTGTTAAAATGATAAAAATTATCATTAGAATTTGTGTCACAAAGTATCTATTTCAATACTCCTGCACTTTTCAAATATCATGGCATATTTCAATCACAAAAGACCCCCAGAAGTCTGCATGGCATTGTAGGAGCCTCAAAACCATCAAATATATATCCCAAGGTCACCACACTCAGGAGTGTATAGCACGGATAAGATGCGTTGAATTTGAAAGGGATAAATGTTACCTGTGCTGAGCTACTGTGCTGGGAAACAGACCAGCACCAGCAAAGTCGTAAATTGCTCAAGTGGCCCCAGCTAGTCAGGGTGTAATACTGCTCAGAGGAGTCAGTCATGGGAAACATGAGGTCAAGCTACATTGGGGCAACAATTTCTAGTCTTTAAAATAAAAAGTCCCCTTCTAAATGCAAGATCAACTACTTTGGTTATAAAGCACCAACTAAAAAATCTGTTGTCGTCTCCTGCATGTGCCACAGCAGGTATTTGTGGGACTGCCACAGCGACAAACCTGCTCAAGCAGCAGCGCTCAGGTTCATGTGTTAATGAATGGATGGTTGATGGATGGAGGGATGCACCTTTAAGCCTTCAGAGCTGGACAAAGCGTCGAAACGTGCAATTGCTTTCCACTTTGCCAACTCCCCTTCACATTACCATCAACATCAGAGCTCATGTGTGAACTTTCACAGAGAAGTGCCCTCAACGATTATTTTCTCTGGAGAAGTTCGAGCCCTGGCGGCAGTGGCTGCCCTGGGCTGTGGCTGTTCCGGGGGCTCCCGGCCAGCCCAGCCAGCCCCTCAGCTTCGCTGCCCGCTGCGGCCCTGCCCTCAGCGCCCGGTCGGGCCCGATCCCGCCAGTGTCACCATACACGGTCCGTGGCGGGCAAAGGTGCGCTCCGCTCCGCGCATGCGTCGTGCAGTAGGGAATTGTTGCTCCCCTCCGCTCCACTCCGCACCAACTTGCAGTCCGCGGCTGTCCTCCCGTGAGGAGGCGGCGGCGCGGCCGGAGCCGGGATGGGGTACGCTATGGCGGCGCGGCGGGATGGCTCGCGCGCCCTGTTGCTGCCGCTGGTACTGGCTGTGGCGTGCGCGGCGCGCAGGTGAGTGCCGCCGGGCCGCGGAAGGGCGTAGGCATGGGGTTGCCCGGCTGCCTCCCTCACCTGCCTGTGCTCCTTCCGGCAGCGCCGACGGGCCCAGCAACATGTCCTACGTGAAGGAGACGGTGGACCGGCTGCTTCAGGGCTACGACATCCGCCTCCGGCCCGACTTCGGAGGTGAGGCTCCCGCGCTGCCCGGACCCCTACCCAGACCCCCGAGGGCTTCCCTCCGCCTAACGCCGCCTCCCGCTCCCCCCGCAGGTCCGCCCGTGGATGTGGGCATGCGGATAGAGATCGCCAGCATCGACGTGGTCTCCGAAGTCAACATGGTGAGTGCTGCCCGCCGCGCCACAGCGCCGCCTGCCGGACGTGCCGCCCCGCCCCTGCGGTGAACGCCCCCGTGGGTGCGCCCAGCCGCGCCGGCAGCACAGTCCCGCAGGGACCGGCTGCAGAGGGGAAGCGAGCACCGAGCGGCAGCGAACACCGTGACACAGCCAAGCACATCGCGGTTGGTAGTAAAAGTTAGCTGAATTGTTGAGATAATGTTTGCTTGCCCGAATGGGCACTCCCTGCCTTCCTGATCAAAATACCTGCTGCAGGTCTGAGGTTTGTGTGCTGCTAGCAGTGGTTTGCCCTTTGTGTAGTCTACAGCTGTCGTCAGAAATGCTGGAGTTTCTGGAGCTGTAGGAGCAGATGGACAGGTGTGCTTTTCTTCCTGTTAAATGATTTAAAGAGTTAGACACTTTGCAAACTAGTGGTATTGAGTAAAAGGTGCAAAAAGAAAAGAAGAAAAAGCTTCTAGAAAATACTCTTTCTTGTAGAAGGAAAAACCCCCACCACTGCAGATTAAGTCCATGAGGACGTTGCCTATCCAACTGTCAAAATCAGAAAAGGCTCCTAGCCTACAGGTGTGAGACAGCTGCGTTTGATGCCAGTTCTGCTGCTGGAAGGAATGCTAACAGACATGCAAGCTTAATGAGCAAAAAATATATCTGTATAGTGCTTGCCTCGTTTGACAGCCTTTTCGCAGAAGAAAACAAAAAAGATAATAATCAGGTACAAGTTTGAATACTTACAAAATCATCTTGAATTAGAATGCAACATGGGTGTTTTGCTCTCACTCTCTTTTCTTATTTTAGGTCTCAAGAAAATCTTAAGATGCTTTCTTTCCATAGGGGAACACCTGTTTAGTTAAAAGTTAGTTAAAAGAAGCTAGAAACCTTACATTTCCATCCCGATCACTTTATTTCACTCAAAAGGGGCAGTTTGACTAAGACTGGTCAAAAAATGTTTTCATTTCATTTCATAAAATGTCACATCTCTCACAGCGGAAGAAAGCAACTTTCCTAGGTACAGGCAATTGAAAAAAAGTCCCCATTCTGAATCAGTCTGAAAGGAGCTTTCCCATATTGCAGGTGCTTAGCTGTACATACCCATGTCTAGAGTGTTTTTTTGTTGCAAGGTCTTTATTGTGTTGCTAAAGACTGTTACATAGTCTTTTGGACAACAAACAATAATTTCATCTGTCTTTGCAGAAATTAGGGGACTGATGTCTCATCTTAAGAAAATTTCTACCTAGTAAAATAATGCTTTATTCTCGCATATTTTTTCTGAGAATCACAGCCTTGAAATGCTTAATGTTGCAGCAACCTGTGAATCATTCACCTTCTCTCCTTTCATTTTAAACTATTGGCTTGTAGATTACTTTTTGTTTAGTAAAAGCTACCATTCTGTGGCTTCAGAGCCAGAAATGTTTACAAAAAGATGCTAGTTTATAGCTTCTGTTGTCTATCGGGCAGTTTTGCTGCTGAAGGAACTGATAACATGAGCAGAGATAGCCACACCTTCATACTGGGAGCTCCTCCTGGCAAGAGAGTCTGGTTGGACTCCACCAGAGCTCTGTTCAGTGAGTCTCACCCTGGCAGTATTGGAGGGAGTTGTTTCATCCCTCGGCTCTCCTCGGGCACATGAAACCTTATTTCCAGAATGACAGAGGCAGCTATTCCAAATCCTGGTACCCAGAGGCAGGATTAAATTTTCTATTCCCATCTCAGTGCTTAAACAAGAGCAAAGATTAAAATAATGATACACACACCCATATATATATATGTAATACACCTAGCCAATGAGGGGGGTGTATTTCTTTGGTATATTAGCTGAGAATTTGTAATGCAGGCTGTCTACCAAGTCAACAGGCTGATCTCTATGTCCAAGTAAACCCAGTTGAAGTATAGACAACAGAGCTATTGTAAATTCTGTGAACATCATCAGTAATAACTGCTCATGCAGCTTGTCTAGTAGTGGCTTCTTCAAATATAGTTAAATGTTGTGAAATACTTCACTAGTAAATGAATCAAGACTTGCAGAGCCTTGAAGTCAGCCTTTATGTTATTTCTCCTGAGTACTTGGCCCTCATCTGTCCAGCTCTTTAAACTGTATTGTTTTATAGCTGCCTGGTAGTTCAATAATACTGTAGTGAGTGGCTATAGCAACTTTTACAGAAGGATTATTTGAAGCTCTCATTATTGTAACTCTCCCATTTGGCATCAGATATTTTGTCATATATTGATTTTTTGCAGGTAATAAGCTGAAGAGCTTGTCAGACATCAAACAAGCAGGAGAAGTAGAATGTAAAAGCTCTAATGACCGTTGCCTGGTTCTTACTGTACTTTCTTCTGAATACCATAAGTTTTAATCTGTTTCCTTGAGATATTCGCATTCTTACTACACTGATTGTAAGCATTCACTTCCAAAAGTACAAGATGACCCTTTGCTTTGTCTTAGTTAATGGCTGTTCAGCTACCTTTCATCCATGACAGGTTTCTTTAGAAGTATGTCATACATTTACATGAATATAGAGAGCTCATTAAGAACCATGCTACAACTATTAAGCTGCTATGACCAGAATTATCTGGTTTACTCTGATACTTTTACATGATTAAGAGAAGGTGCTGCTTGTACATCAAGAATAAAGAATAAAGAATATTCATGATTCATGAAAAAGCACGATTCATGGTAACTACTGTCAAGCTTCAGGGCAAGCAAACAAATAGCATATTGGTGCATCTACTAGGAAACAGTTAAGAAGTAGCTGGACTCTGCAAAGAAAATACACATGCAGTACATGACATAATTTTCTCTAAAATGCTCCTCCTGAGCAGGTGGTCAAACCTTCAAACTAGGGAAAGGATAGCTGTACATGTTCTAAAGTTTTGAAAATTAGTGTACATGATAAAAAACCTCTTAAAATGCAGTTAAAAGAGACACCAAAAAGTTAAATAAAATAAAAAAGCCCATCATTGTAGAGTGGGAACAGTGTTCCTAACTTACCATACTGATTACACTGGTGATGAAGATTTGTTTTGTATGATAGCACATTGAAAGCTTTGTGTCCAAACAAAAAAGAGGGTAAAGAAAACACAGAATATATAATTCTTCTGTTTCTGTGCACCCCAATTCACTTTTACTCAAGGCTCTTGCATTTATCTGATCTTACAAATAAGTCACAAATCTTGCAGAGAAGCAGGATCTCATCTGTTGCCTACTGTTCAAAACTCACTAGCTGGTTCTCAAGATCTCTCCTTAAGTAGTTTCTTTTATGCTGCCAACCTCTCAACCTGTTGGATAACATCTTTTTGCACCAGAAAAAAATTTAGTTTAGCTTAAGGCACTTTCTGTGTCTTTCTGAGAAAACAGATAATTAAACAAACCAGCTGCATAGATTTTTATTTTTTTTTCATCCATTTCACGTGATACCACCCTCTCAGATTCTGTCTCAATCCTTCTAGCCCATATGATTATGTATAAGAAATTGGACATAGAGACAGCATTATCTTCTGGTGCATCTTTGACACCATGGCTTATGCTGAATGATGAAGTCGTGTGTGAAGCACAGAGTAGAGCTGCATGTCACGTTTGATCCTTTACTCTGTCATGACTGCAGAGTATTATTGGTTTGGAGAATGAAGTTTCTCCCACAGTGCTTAGAGCTCCACTGCCTATGTTATCAGAGACCTTTTTCTGCTACACCTGTTTATCTTTCCCTGGAAGCAATACAGTATTTCTCTTTTTTCCTTTTTTCTTGCTTTAGGGCTGCTCCCAGGCCTGCTGCTGAAACACTGGCTTACATTACAAATTGAATCCAAGAGAAATGTGTTTTCTGGTATACTAGAAGTTTTTTATAGCCTTATAAACAGTTCCGTGTCTGAAGGCTTGACTATATTAGTTAGTTTGGAGCATCTTTCTTTGTTCAGTTTGGGCAGTGAACAGTTTGCAAGTGTGAAAAAATGAAAAGTAAACTTGTGTTTTCGCACCACAAGATCTCTAGAAGGAATTTTACTGATTTTCAGAGTGTGTCTTTCTGGGATACTTCATGCTATGTCTGAATTTTTACAGAATAATTTTGCATATAACAGTGTTGATGTATTTTACTTCTTTTCTGATCTGCGCAGGTTTGCTGTATTTACTGTTTATCACCAGTCTAACTGTTCAGTTTCCTTTAAAAAATGACTGAAATCAACAGAATATGTTCCAAACAGCCTGAACATCAGAACCAAGCCAAATGTATAAGCAGCCCCTGTCTGAGCAAATACCACTCTGCAGGTTGAAACAGAGGATTAGACTTTTGTTGAGTTGTATAAACAGTAATAAAGAAGATCATCTGCATCCACAGCTGCATGAACAGGAGCACAGCCCACAGGCTGAGGGAACTGGTTATCTCTATTTAGGACTTGCTAGATGACATCTAGGTTCTGTGTACAGGAAAGAAGCAGAATGCCCAGGGTGGCTCTGCAGTCTCCATCCTTGGTGGTCTGCAAGACCTGGCTGGATCAAGCTGTGAGCAACCTGGTCTGACTTCATAGCCAAATTTTTCTATTTTATAAAATAATAATTGTTTAACACATTCAGGAGGCAGAACTCCCCTTAACATTAATAAATATTCACTGATAGTCCACTCTGCCTACTCTCAAGAGTTCCGAGACAGTCACACAAGGTGAATTTGACAGAATAAATACACAGAAAAGTTTTCAAACTTACCTATAAATCCAAAGCAAGGATATAGATGCCTCCAGGGCCTAAAGGAATGGAAGGGTTTCACCTTACTTTAGGGCTGATGCCAGCCCAGGTAACTGTGGCATCCTGCACTGGTAGGTTTCTAGTCAAAAAGTTGAATCTGTGGGTTTAAACATTCAGGCTGAGTAAGGCTTGGAACCAAGGCACTGAAAGTTTGCTCATTAATCCTGCAGGCCAGTGCTCATACACTGGACTCCAATTTTAGGAATGATAGACTTTCATGTATGGGTGCAGGTTACCTTAAGGCACTTCCTGTAGGCCGAGGGATGCTTAAGGTCTGTTTATAAACATAGAGTTTCACATTTGTTTTGTGCTTTTTCCCTGGCTGAGAATTTAGCATGGTGGCTGTTGTGAATCTCAATGTAGGAAACAATCTACACTAGGAACCAAGTCAGCATTATGAACACCATCTTGTACCCCTTTGCATCAGAGCAGCCAAGTCAAATTTTTTTAACCTTGAGTCTGGTTCCTGGAGAACTAAAAAGTAAAACTGCTTCAGCTCAGCCAGTGAGGCAATAAAAGTGATCAGGGTAGTCACAGTGACAGTAAATGGTCCTTGGTCTAAATATATTTGCCTGAAGATATACATGCAGATTAAACTGATTTTTAAAAGTGACACAAAACTAAATAATTGTTAATAAAAATTTGCTTGGCTGTAGTGCAGAAGAAAGGAGTACTTTTCTGTTACGTGGCAACTCTTCTGAAGAGCATGAAGGACATACAGAAGTACTTGAATATTAATAAGAATGTTCAGCAACTGATTTTACTTTTTTTCCCAGCAAATACAGAAAAACTAATTGAGCAGAAACATAAAGGTCAGATCATTTCATCATTGTCTATTGCAAACATGAGTAATTATATTAAAGAGTGAAACGTGGAATGAAGGTATAAATATGCAGCTTGAGGTTAAATGATTGGATGTTTTCTTGGGTTTTTTCTCATTGACTTCATAAATCAGCAGCTCTTCAACAAGTATGCAAAAAGGATAAAGCAATAGCTTAAATGTTTGATATGATCCAGAAACTGGATATATCTTGATTTTTCAAAAGTTAAACTAAACTGAGACTAGCTTCAGGGTTGATAAAAGCTGTAGTTTATATCTTCCTTTTAGCCTGACAGACACACTACTTCCCTGATCTCAAGGTTTCAACAAACTAGATATAAGTGCCCTTCATAAAAAAGGTGTCATTCTTTTATCTGATGTTAAACTCACAGTTTCCTGCAAGGGCAAGCTGACTCCTTCAATTATTTCTCTTTCTAGCCACTGGAGGTGGCTTGCCCTCAATTTCCAGCTTATCTCAAGAGCTGATAAGCTCAGTTCTGACCTGTGTACTTTACCTTTTAGCCCAGATTTTACACCTGACACCGCCGGCCATCCTGGCACATCTGTAGTCCAGCCACATAATGTAACTTGTGCAGAGTTTACATTTCTGAAGACAAGAAGTGGTCACGCTTCCCACTTGTTTAAAATATTTTCTGAGAATAGCATGAGATGACACAGGACAGAAAATTAAGAATCATTTTAATTTTTAACATAGTTTTTTTTTTTGTAAGCTGCTGCTTACCCTCTTCTTTCTCCTAAGCATGGAGTCAAGAAAAGGATCCAAAACAACTGCAGGTCTGAAATATGATGGTATTACTGTGATGAACTGTCAAAAAATCTGTTCACTGGAATAAGTGACCACCTGCAAAGGAAAAGACCATGTTTTCTTAATCATGCCATAAACCACTTCTCCAGCCAGGTCTGGTTCTTGAAACCTGCAGTTAATTGTATCACTGTGGTGATACAGTGCAGTGGTGCATATGAAATGGGAGGGGTGACACCGTCCCCCTGTTTAGTAGAAGCTTTAGCACCCAGGCTGGGGTGTCTGATTTCACTTAAATAAGGAGCATACCTGTAGTGAGATACGCTTTTCAGTTAGGTGGATGAGAAAATCCAAGGTTTTCCCCAGCTCTGCCTTCTTGTGGACTAGCATCAGACAACATCAGCTGCTCTGTCACCACCTTAAACTTGCAGCTTCTGGTCTTCTAGTGTGCACAAACCCCACGGTTCAGTGGCACGAACCTTTTGAAACATTCAAGGGTCCCAAATGATTCTTCAATAATGGAAAAGTTAATTATTCACACAAAAGACCCATTCCCCCAAATTAACTGCTTTCAACATCTATAAAATAAAATTTTAATTTCTTCTAGGACCATGAAAGATGTTTCTTTTCTTGTGTGTGACAGAGGAAGGGCTTAAGTAAAAGCTTGCTTTCTCATTTTCTCCTATTGTATTCCCTTTTTACTTCTGATTCTGGATGGGAGAGAATATCAGAATTTTCTGAACTAAGCATTTTTGTTTATAAAGAGTTTTAAGGGATACATTTCAAGTGCCTGCAAAACTTAGGTGGTGGTGTTTTTTTTCTGTCCTTTTTGATTCTATTTTTTTTAATCAGCTTTACTTTGTACTCTATAGCCTGAAAAGTATTCCTTAACTCCCCTAGGCTGTGTTTATAAATTCTTTACCAGCTGCAGTTCAGTACAGACTAGGAGTTGAATCTGCACAACCAAGAGATGCAACAGTCACACCACCAGTTCTCCCTGTAGTGGGAAAAGATCCCAGCCTCAGGGGAAGAACAGTAACAAGCTCCGAAGCTAGTACCAGAAAGACTTGTTCCTGTTCAGAGGATGCCAAGTACTCTGGGACAACAGCTGACACTGTTAAAGCAAATCCAGAGATTGCCATCATTCAGAAGTATCTCCAGCTGATGTGTTTTACTGATCACTGTATTCCAAACAGCAGCTGCCTGGAAGAGTTCTCTGGGGTCTCATCTTCCATCCGCCTAAGTGTGCTGTATTTTAAAGCATGAGTAAAGCCTGAAAAAAACAGCTGTAAGGGCTTCTAGCAGGTGATGAAAGAGTCCAAGGTGGCTACCAGAAAGATTTTATACTTTAGTGCTCTTTGAGATTCCTTTTTTTCTTGTGAAAAAAAAGAATTCAGGATCTCAAGGTATACACTACCATTCTTCTGGAGTTCCTCTTCCCTCATATACAATGCTGCCTGTAATTCTGGCAGTGCTCCAGAAAGCATATTAAAATGAAATTATTTCCACCCCAAAGGCTAAACTATTGCAGATATGTTCACAAGGAAATCTGTAGTAGCATTCACTGTGTAATCTAGCTTAATAACACCAGATAATGCAGTTTCATTTACTTTTTAATTTAAGCAGTAGCTCTGTATTAAGATTTACATGGGCTGAAGAAGGTAGATTAAATTACTTGCCTATCAACTTTTATGATGACCTCTTAAGATTAAAACACTGCTTTTGGCTGAAGCAGTGTCACACCGGGGTTTGCTCCATCCTCTGCTGGGGTAAATCCTTGAATGTTTTGTGTTATGTCATGAACAAAGGAAAGGTAATTTAAAATGCACAAAGACAGCTCCTAGAAAGCTGCATTATCACATACACATCCACCCTGTAGCGAGATTGAGTTGTAAAGCTTTAAGCGTGCATGATAGAGTGCGGA